AAAAAAAAATCAACAGCGCTGTATAACAAATAGTGGTAGAACATATAATATTCATTTAATTTTAATCAAATATACTTGGTAAATAGTAATAAATAGCAATATAAGTTGACAGACAGACTCTGCTTAGAATAGTTTTTCCGGTTGTTTTTCGTATCCGGTGATTTATCATTGTATTTGAATTTAACACATCTATTAAAATGACCTACCTACTCGTATAATAATTATGAAGTACGCTCAACGCTTGTCGCTTACTGCAGTTCATTAGAACGGATAACACTACTTACCCAATGTCTACCTTAATAAATTAAAATTTTTGTTTGATAGTAAAATATCTTAAACGTTAAATGAAAGTTATTTCCTCATAAGTATTTTTTATATTTACAACTCTAAAATAATAGTGACAATGTTTTTTTTTTTTTAATATGGATTTAAAGCTAATTATTTTCATGAAATTCATCAGTCACGAAAATTTGTAAATTTGTCAAATTTCAATATCGCTTTATCATTTGTATCGCGTACCAACCATAAAATTTTTTTTTGGTTAACTATTAACAATAGATGATCATAAATAATTGATAATTTCCCTTTCAGAGGAAAAATATCAAGTAGCACGACTAAATTTGTTCATCGATTATTAAGTGAGTACCATCTTCTTCTTTCGCTTTACAAAATTTCCCCTCGCTGTTCTATCTTGGTCGTATTCTCTTTAGTATGTTACATCTAATTTATCCATATCATCTTTATTTTTTTCCTTCCAGCGCTTTTTGGACTCTTTCCAAATGAATTCAAATTGATTGCAACCTTTTCTTTTCTGTGTTTCCGTTCGCATTGCATGTCCACTGTACATAGKTACTAATTAATTATTTGGTTTTTCAAAAAGTTGTTGACCCATGAAATACCTAGGAACTTTTCTTAGTTCTTATTCTCCATTTGCCTCTTCATATGTCAAATATAGTGCTACACATCTTCCTCGCCACCTTGTTCTTGAATCTACCAAACTTTGTTCCATTCTTTTTGTATAAGTGACCAATATCTCAAAACCATAATATGAATAGATACCTATTCTCAGATTTATTTAGGTATCTCATTATCGCGTGTTTATCAAAATATCGATGAACAAAAAACTATATGTGGATGTGTACTTTAGAATATTCCGTTGAACTTTGAATTAAAACTTAAAAAGCCTTTTAGCTGTTAAGCTTCGAGTATTAATGTTTCGAATAATGTAGTCATTATTATAAGTGGACAAAATAGTATTGGTAAATTATGGTAAACATTAATCGGGTTACGATACATATTATAAAATACACGATAAATAATTAATAATGAATTCTTAACTTTAAAAATATAATATTGGAATAGTAAGATTATGAATTGCAGTCTACATTAAAAAAAAACTGCAATTGCTGAAACAAAATCTTATACGTTATACATAGGTAATCGAAATAATTGATAAAAATTATTTTTGCACTGAATTTCAAGTTTTGGTCAAAACTAATACCTTTGTTCAYACAATCATCGCCAAAAGAAATCAATGATTTCGATTTTAAATAGCGAATATTAATAGTGGGTAATTATCAATAATTAATGACTATTATATAGCATCCGAWAAAGTGATACTATAATATTATGATATAATATTCGTGTGTTTTCAGTTTTCCTCGATTTACAGTATCTCGTATATTTTAGGCATGCGTATTATGAGGAAAAATGTTGATGACACAAATAGTGACACGACCTCTACTCCTCTGCATAACTTCACCATGTTAACCAGTCTATATCTATCGGTATTTTTTTCACTTCTGACTATCATTCTGAACTCTGGCAATCAAATGAACAACTTCCTCCCCACAAATGTCACTCTGCATATACATCTCGCGTGTTGAGCAGTATAACGGACGTGTAAAATATAATAACAATATTATAAAATATACGAAAAACAACAATAAATTATCGTTTGCTAAGATCGCGAAGGTGGTTGATGAGTTGTTTAATGACGTCGTCGCAATTCACTCGATTCAGTGTCAAGTCTCCACGGCCGTTACTTTACACAATACTCAAGAGTTCGACTGTTGTTTATCGAGGATTACACTTTTCGGAATTCACGACTAACGCTATAGGTCTGTTTTGTTCGATTTGTGTAATACTTATGCAGTACCAGAGCTGCTGAGRACGGATATGATTGCTGCGGGCATATTTGTGTTTATTTATTTTTTGGGTGCTTCGAYGACCTTCGAACGGGTCTATATAGTCGGGGTGGTAATATTATATTAATAGTTAATACGTACACTATTAKGTGCGGTCGTTTATATTATAGAGTTTTCCCTKTAGGTATATAATCGTTTCACTTGACAACGGCACGTTTAAGTCGTCAAATACTCCAGAAGTTTAATGAGGTAAGTATAGGTTGGAGTTAGGATGTTTGGGTATACTAACAGGGTACTCGTGACTCRTCATCGTTATTAATAACGTAATACTGCACGCGAGTAGGTATACCTAGTTAATATTAGCGTGCGTCGTTAAATAGGTTAAACGACCTTTATCATAATATTATTGTCGTAAAAAATAATATATTATATTATTTTAATAATATGGAAAAACGTATTGGTGAAGAATACAAAACGGTAGCTTGTTTGTACACCAATAATAATATTATCTCGTTCTGTCTTCACGCGTATACAGAAGAAAACGCCACACC